CCCTTACTCTGAGGTGGACTGGCCCAACAAATCAGAAAAGATACAGTGCACATAGGAAGAGTAAGATAGAATCAATAAGAAGAAATAGAAATTACTTTGTCTTTTTCCTGTGACTTCACAATATTCTATCTAGGAATAAACACTATAGGGAAATATTTTAAAAAGACAAAACTCATTATGTACAAATACGTTCAACACAATTATTAAGAGCTGTGGAAAATTAGAAACTCTGTAGAACGACCAACATATGAGAAATGGATAAGTAAAAAAACAGTGCATCGCTTTGAATAATGTGCAGTTTTTAACAAAGATATTTTTAAAATTTTTTGCAACATAGCGAAGTTCTTAGGTTGTAATATTAAGCGGGGGAAAATGTGGATGCAAATTTAAATATATAATGTGATTCTAACTGATTTAAATACGGAATAATAAAGAAAAAAGATCCCAAAGTATTTTTACTTCTCAATTGGTAGTATTGCACTGGATTATATCTTTCCTGATGCTTGACATATTGAAAATATTTAAACCTCAGACTGGTAAGGGTGGGGAGTGATTATATGATTTGTAAAATCCATTTAAACCTGAGATTCTATAATTACATGATTTCCTGGAAAACCAAATCTCACCTACGAACTTGTCTGACAGAGCTCCACAGCCAGGGCCCCAGGCGCTGTTAGTACACCAAGAAAGTTGCAAAATGCCAACTAGCTCAGTTACAAAAAGTGTCTTTCTTGACTTGTAAGTGGCACCGATGGCTAAGTCCTTTCTCTTGAGCCTTACCAATGCTACTGCATATTCTGTTGGCAGGCAATTCAGTGAAGTTTCTTAGCTGTGGCTAATTAGACCTCAGGGGAATTTCTCCATCATTAGCAGATCTTCCCAAGAACCCAATTATTTTACATAACTTAACTGAACATCAGAGGAGAACTTTTATAACATTCACTTTTAATGTTTAACTCCCTCCTTAAGTCTACATGAAGACAAAAATGCCATGAAGAAAAAATTTGACCACTTATGAATTTGGATATTTAATAACAAACGAGCTTAATATGGAGTTTGTATATTTGGTATTGGATAAGTTAAACATTCAGGTAACTATTTGGCTTTTAATTTTTTCTTTATAATATTTTGGTTTTTTAATTGATCTACCATTCATGGTGATCATAATTTTTAAATATTATGAATGTATTATGAAGGCAATTCAGTTGAATTTTCTGATGGACTTGATATGAATGTGAAGAGTAAAAATTGCTCCATAGTATTTGGACTACATCACCTGAAGACAGTGTTGTCATTACTGAGACAATTTCAAGTCTACATGCCACAACTAACAGCCAACATTTGCTTGCGTGCTTACAAGTGCCGGAAATACTTAATCTTTACATCAACATTGAGTCAGATACTATTATTGTCCTTATTTAACAGATGAAATAACTAAGGCTTAGAGAGTAAAGAAGTTGTTCGATGGAAGTCAGTAGGCTGGGCTGTGCCC